TTTTTGAAATATGGCAGAATTTCCTCGTAGCACCAACCTTCGATACCCATCCGGGACCATTCGTTGTAGTCCTCTTTGTTGCCGTAAGTGTAGAACATTCCGTTTATCGTAGAACTGTCGCGCAGAGCCTTGCCTTTATGCCATTTGCACAATTTGTTCTTAGCGCCATGGCAAGCGAACTTCTCGTATACGACATCGTAGGCGTAATCTTCCGGCGACGATAGCAGTTCTAGTAACAATCCGGGGATTTCGCTGTTTGGCGAAGGATCGTCTCCNGTTGCCGTAAGTGTAGAACATTCCGTTTATCGTAGAACTGTCGCGCAGAGCCTTGCCTTTATGCCATTTGCACAATTTGTTCTTAGCGCCATGGCAAGCGAACTTCTCGTATACGACATCGTAGGCGTAATCTTCCGGCGACGATAGCAGTTCTAGTAACAATCCGGGGATTTCGCTGTTTGGCGAAGGATCGTCTCCGGCCTCGATCAGTAACATCTTCCAGTTTTCTATCTCGGTTAAACGATTGGTTATTACGGATCCGGCGCTTCCAGTGTCTACAATGACAAAGTCGAATTCGATGTTGCTGTGTATGATTTCTTCCGAACGATCCGCAGGATAGTTGTTCTTACTGCTTAAACCGCATTGCGCAATTAGAAGCGTTTGGAACAATTGCAGGAAGACGAACGTGGAAACATTAGTCGTTGCAGCTGCACAAGTGGCTGGCAAGCACGCTTCCATGATCGTGCTGTGTTGCGTAATGTTTGCGTTGTTTACGTAATGATTTTGTTCTGCCGAATATACAGAATTTAAGATTAGTGCATATTGCTTGATTTATCCACATGTTGTGTCGTAATATTAAGCTGGTTATCGGTTAACTTTTTGCTTTTAAGTGAGAGGAAATAAGATATTAAGAGAAAAGAAAGATTAGTAGTATAGTATGTATATTAATTAAATTGCATATTAATTATATTAAATTAATTATTCCATGTCACGTGAATTTATATTTCTATGATTATTCACCGTGTATTTGTGTGATTTATTTTATGTTTCCGGTTTTATCCTTCTCTTTTTGACAAATCACTTTCTCGTATACCGGAAAAAATTCCGTACAAACTCAAGTTAAAATTCTGAAGTGTTAACGTCCAGTATTCTAAGTTTCACGATTAATTGAATTGTTCAACGTACTTTGTTTGAAATCGCAGGAACGACTGAAACGATTTGCAGAGTTTCACGTTTAAATAATGCAAGACCTTGAACTATAGAATCAATCAATTTTTAATTTCTTCAATATTTAGTCGCCAACGTTCGACCAAAGTCCGGGGAACATGTATATACATGTACGCATTTGTATAGATATGTATATAGGTATGTATGATTATCCTTTCATGCCTTATTTTGTTGATCGTAGTGACATATCGTATTAACAAGTCGACAGTTAGCCGCTGACAGTTCACATTGCTATAGCCAAAGTTTGAAACTGTTTTCTAGCTTAGAATTTTCTATTGATATGTATCGTGAGATCGGATACATCGAAACAAAGTTAGCAGTGAAAAATACGAATATTTGATGCAGTTAACAAGCCTTTTTGTCAAACGCGATATTGCATAAATCATTGCGTATATTATATACAACGAACTTAATTTCGCTACATGATTATGTCTTTCTAGAATATATGAGTTTATAAAATCGTGCAGGACGATAATGTTCTGTATACTTTTATCAAAAATACTGCTATTTTTTTTTATCCACGGTTATATGTTGTCATTAATTTCAACTTTAGCTGTTCTCGATAACTTACACAATTTAAGATAATTTTAATGTATGTCTCATTTTTGATAAAGTTATGATACATTTAAATAAATTTTTGATAAAGTTATGACACATTTAGATACATTTTTTACATAAATTTATACACAAAAAATATTATTATAGAACACACTTTTATTATTTTTTATAACATTGCTTATTCTACAAGAGAGCCATATTTACTTAATTTTGCTATTAATAAAATCGTAGGAATTAATAAAACCAGATGGCTTAACATGCAAAAATAATTATTTATTCAAAAACAGGTTTATGAAAATTACAATAAAAATCACAAATTATGATTAATATATTTACTAGCGATTTGCGCAGCCGCAATTCACCCGTACCCTTCGGCTTTAGCGAACTTCACATAGACAGTATTACATAGACTTGTTCAACTATTTTCATTATTTCATGTTTTATATCGTCATACACAGAGAATTTCTTGCGACCCCACGTTCACTTTATCCACATATCTTGTAGACATATTTATTAGTATTAGAGTGCTGAAAACAAATAAACCATTTATATTTGTAACATTGCTTAAAGTTAATAAAATATTATAATTAAATTGCTTGCATAATAAAACATGATATATAATAAAATACTTTATGTAATGAAATATGTTGTACAGAATTATTTGGTAAAATATTGTTTATTATATTCGTAGACTTCACAAAATAAAATTTTTCAATCTAACAATTTGTGATTCATATGACACGAACAGTTAAAAAAATGAAATTTTGTCATATCATAAGCATGTAACGCAGCTATACTTCCTCCTAGTTCGTACCTGCCCAATCCTCTTTGATTAAATCCGAGCCTTTCTCTCCTATCATCATTGCAGGTCCCACCGGTGTTCCGCTATTGATGTTCGGCATGATGGATGCATCGATCACCCTGAGCCTTTG